TTCTTTCTCAGACAACCCCCCCCCCCCCCCCCCTCTCTCTCTCACACACACACACACACACACACACACACACTGTACTGGAATGTCACGCGTGCACACAATTATGTACTGGGATCACACACAATTATGTACTGGGATCATTCTCATACACACACAGTTGTATGTACTGTTACTATGTTAACTATGTACAGTTATGTACTGGGGGTCACACAGTTACTGGGATCACACACAGACACAGTGATGTACTGGGATCACACAGACTTATGTACTAGGATCTGGGATCTTACACACACACACACACACACACACACACACACACACACACACACACACAGAGTTATGTATTAGGAGCTCTCGCGCAGAGTTATGTAGTGGGACCACACACGCGCGCGCGCGTGGATGCTGCACTCGGGGATGGTCCCGCTGGGAGCAGGGCCGGGCTGGGTGCCCTCCTGCGGCCCCTTCCACGCCTCCTTACCCTGAGTCCCTGCACAGATAAAGGGAGGGGGGGTCCCATGCTCTCCCCCTTCCCTCTGCACCCTGTCCCCAGGGAGGGAGTGTCGTGGCCCGGCCAGCAGCCCAGCCCCGGGGAAGTTGCGCCCGGGAGGCTCCAGTGGGAGCTGGGGCTCCCCTTAGCCGCCCCGCTCCCCTCAGTGCCTGGGGGACGCGCACGCAGCGCGATGCTCCTTGCTGCCCCCGAGCGCGTCGCGTGTGTGTTTTTATGGACTTTTCCCCTCCCCTGCAGCCTCCGCCGCCTGCCCCGGAGCGAGCTTTGCCCCTTCCCCAGCACCGCGCGCACACGCAGCCGAAGAGGAGGAGCGGGAGCCGGAGCCGGAGCCGGAGGGGGCCGCGGGGAGAGGCAGTGGAAAGTGCTGAGTCGGCGCATCCCGGCCTCCCCTGGTGTCTTGCTTTTGGTGGCAACTCAGTGCTGGCCGCAGTCATGGTGGAGGCGGGGAGCGGAGGAGCAGCGTCGAGTTAAAGGCCAAAGGCAAGGGCTGGGGAGGGGAGCTCGGCCTGGGGTGTGTGGCAGGGACCCCTGGCCCTTCCCTCCCCTCTGCCCACTCTGCATTTCTCCCCCTCATCCCCCTTTCCCCTCATCCATCTTTCCCTTTCCTCTCTTGGGTTTTCCCCTCCCTAATCCTTGGTTTCTGCCCCCCCCACTAGAGCCCTCAATCCCAGCTCCACCATCCACGTCTAGGCTCTCTGAGGTTTCCCTCCCTTGCTTTGGCACTCTCTGCCTCAGACCCCTGCCTCCCTCCCACGGGCTCCAGGGTGTCCCTCTGTAACCCTCGCACACCTCCCCACCATCAGTTGTGCCACCATGACTGTCATGGCTGGAGACAACGTGGATGAGACCTCTGCCCTGCCTGGCCACCCCCAAGACAGCTACCAGCCAGGTGCCCATGACGACCATGAGTGCTGTGAACGGGTCGTGATAAACATTGCTGGGTTGCGCTTTGAGACCCAACTGAAGACCCTAGCCCAGTTCCCCAACACGCTGCTGGGCAACCCCAAAAAGCGCATGCGGTATTTCGACCCCTTGCGCAATGAGTACTTCTTTGACCGCAACCGGCCTAGCTTTGATGCTATCCTCTATTACTACCAGTCTGGAGGCCGGCTCCGCAGGCCGGTCAACGTGCCTCTAGACATGTTCTCTGAGGAGATCAAGTTCTACGAGCTGGGTGAGGAAGCCATGGAGAAATTCCGGGAAGATGAAGGGTTTATCAAGGAGGAGGAGAGACCCTTGCCCGAGAAGGAATACCAGCGCCAAGTGTGGCTCCTCTTTGAATATCCAGAGAGCTCCGGGCCAGCCAGGGTCATTGCAATAATCTCTGTCATGGTGATCCTCATCTCCATAGTGATCTTCTGTCTAGAGACTTTACCAGATCTGAAGGAGGAAAAAGACTTCACAGGGACCCTGCACCGCATTGACAACACCACCGTGATCTACAAGTCCAACATTTTCACCGACCCCTTCTTCATCGTGGAGACCTTGTGCATCATCTGGTTTTCTTTCGAGCTGGTGGTGCGCTTCTTTGCCTGTCCGAGCAAAGCTGAGTTCTTCAAGAACATCATGAACTTCATTGACATAGTGGCCATCATCCCCTACTTCATCACCCTGGGAACTGAGATGGCTGAACAAGAAGGAACCCAAAAGGGGGAGCAGGCCACCTCTCTGGCTATTCTGCGAGTCATCAGACTGGTAAGAGTCTTTAGAATCTTCAAACTCTCCCGGCATTCTAAGGGCCTCCAGATTTTGGGACAGACCCTCAAAGCCAGTATGAGAGAGCTAGGTTTACTAATCTTCTTCCTCTTCATTGGGGTGATCTTGTTCTCCAGCGCGGTGTTTTTTGCTGAGGCTGAAGAACCTGACTCTCATTTCTCAAGTATCCCCGATGCTTTCTGGTGGGCAGTGGTATCCATGACCACTGTGGGCTATGGTGACATGTACCCTGTGACAATTGGAGGCAAAATCGTAGGCTCCTTGTGTGCCATCGCTGGTGTGCTGACAATTGCCCTGCCTGTACCTGTCATCGTATCCAACTTCAACTACTTCTACCACCGAGAAACAGAAGGGGAAGAACAGGCTCAGTTACTTCACGTTAGCTCCCCCAATTTAGCATCTGACAGTGATCTCAGTTGCCGTAGTTCTTCCACAATCAGCAAATCTGAGTACATGGAAATCGAAGAGGATATCAATAATAGCATAGACAATTTTAGAGAGGCTAATCTCAGAACTGGCAACTGCACCGTAGCCAACCAAAACTGCGTTAATAAAAGCAAGCTGCTGACTGATGTGTAAAAAAAAAAAAAAGCAAAAACAAAACAAAACAAAAAATAAACCCCACTCACAGCTTGAAGACTTTAAGTGACATGGTCACACTTTGTAGATGCTTTACTAATAGTCTTTGAATGCTTTATTTACCTCGTAAATGCATTGTTGCATTGCGAATTTTTGCTCAGCGATAAAGAAGCTTTCAGAATCCATGAAAGAGATAATGTTTTGTTTCTTTTACAAATGGCATTTTCCAACTGGTTAACAATGATAATCATTTGAACTAGTCTAGTTGTAAGTCATATGCTTCTAAACCTCAACTTTTTTTCCTAACTTTTTTTTGTTCATTTAACTTATTTTTACAGCAAAAGAGTTTTTAGTGACATGCATGGATTCCAGTAAAAAACAAAATTTCTGCAAAACTGCACAATGCATCCAAAAAAGTACATCCGATAAAAAGTTCAGTAGAAACATGCAGCAAGCATCTGCTGCTATTTTGCTCAAGAAGTGTATATTCCTCATCCTCCTTTGTGAGGAATTATGTTGTTCTGCTCTACAGATCCACACAGCACCTTATTATGAATAAACTTAAGCCCAGTGTTTTGGCTGTTTGTACCCTTAATGCAGACAAATTATTATTCTATAAGGAAAATAAAGGACAAAACATCTGCAATGCTGCTAAGTTTTCTTAACTGCAGATGGTTAAACACACTTTTCTCCCTTTATTTCCCCTGTCCTCCAGAACTGGATGCAAAAGTTTTCACCCTGTGTTGCAAGATAGCACAATGGAGTTTAATATATGCATGTTTGAATTTGATACTATTTATTTTGTAATAGCATGCCTGAAAAGTTACCTCAGACAATAGGGGATAAGCTTTCGTTTGAACGGAATCTTCTAAATATAGTCCTTTTTGGTTTTTGTTTTCTTTTTTGTTTTTTTTTCTTTCTTTCTTTCTTTTATTTTTGATTTGCATTCACCAAAAGTGCACTCCTTAATTTATTAAATATTTGATTAGTAATTTAAAGTACTGTATTTAAGTGCATATGTTAGTCAAATGGGAACAATAACTTTTGGAGATCAAAGCATGTTCAAATATTCAGCATTATGGCCTACTTGATTAAGGTGTAACTTGAATTAATTAATGCATGAATTCAGTAATAATAAGAATATTTTTTAAAACGCGCTTGTTAGATTGAGGGCACAAAGGGACTGACTAGAGAGATCTGATGCTTTTCCTGCATCATTCAGGGAAATGTGTTGGCCTCTCTCCAGGCATGGTCAGAAAGGAACATATCCCATCCCTTAAAGGGAAAACTATAAGGAAAATTAAGAAGTCAAGTTATATATAACAACACCTAAGAAGCACTATCCTTCCTAGCTGCAGAGGTGCCGATGCATGTCTTTTGGTGCATTCTCTGAATGTAAATGAAATGTATCTATCGTATGCATCCAAATTGCAGCAGCTGGTTTTCTTTTGCCATCGTGATTTGAGCTCTATAGACTTTTGTACTTCTCTAGAACTCACTGAAGAGACTCAACAGATTGATTTAGGTAGTTGCTTAGTGCCTTTTTATCCTTTATCCACTGATTTGCTGAAAGTGCCTCCATGAATAGAGCCAATCAGATGTAGTGAAGGAAGGGGCAAGATACCACCACACAATCAGGATTGTTCCATGCTACTCCTAGGCATGGCATGCAGAGAGAGAGAAAAAGTGGGGGTGTGTGAGAGAGAGGGAGACAGACAGACAGAGAAGAGGAGGGCAATGACCACCAGCGCCCATGGACACCTTCCTTCCCTTGGCAGCGCAATGCTGCGGGGCTCGGCGTTTTGCCTCTGCCAAATAAGTCACAATCGTGTTTATGCAAGACTCAGAATTTCCCCAGATTGTTTATAGACATTGCTGCCCTCATCGTTTTTGCCTTTCCTTCCCCCGAGATGGCTCTTGGGCAGCCTGCCCCAGAATGGCAGAACATGAGGAACTAAAGACCATCACTTACTGCAGCATCCACCAGGCAGGCAACCAGACTGGAGGGCTGCACATTTTTTTCTCTTGGACTTCCCAAGAGGTAGGTGAGAGAGAGGCTCCCCATTTCCCAGTTGAGCATCTACCCCTGCCTCCCTCCCCCTTCCCCCACACTCCCTCAGGAACCTTTCAGATCTTAAATCCAATACAGGTCCTTCAAGGAATCCTTTCCCATTCAGTCCCACCTCCCTTCCCTGCTCCCACCCTGATCTGTGGAAGGAAGCACTGCTGGGAGAAGGCATCTTCTGCAATATGCAAGCCTTGACCGCTAGGTCCTGGAAGACGACAGCTTTCCATCCTGACCAACGTAGGCACTAATTTTTATTTTTCTAAAGGACCAAGTTGAGAATCTTCATTCTGCACTTAGCATGTGGCCATCTGCTGTCGAAACCCCTCTCCCTTCCACACTGTACAGACCCCTTTCCCCCACTCCCATCTTATATCTATCTATCTATATATATGTATATAGTGAGACATTTATGGTCTAAAAAAAATTCACTCTGCAGTTAACGCACAAGCCCGACCTGCTGGGTTTACAGAAAGACTTGACTTCTCGCTTGTTTGGCATCTGTGAATCTTTAATGATGGGAAAGTGATCAAGGACAGAAGGAACCTCTCCACTCAAAACAGCTGCAAAATGTCTGGTAAAACAGGGCATTCAGTTCTCCAGGTAGATGACATCAAGCTTCTTTCCTGGCCCTTATCTGTTCACACCCTCCACGACACACCTGTCCCACCAAAAATTAAAATTTGGTGGTCCTGATCTTTCCAAACTCTGAATTCTAGGATACAACTTCCCATGTTGAAACTGACTTGAATGCTGCACTCCATTAAAAACAGCAATAATCAATTCAGTGCTGTGGGACTGATGATCAGAAAGTAGCACCTGAGAGATGAGGCCTCACTTTGGTAACTTGGTTTCTATAGCAGTTGGGGGTCCGCATCTTAGTTTAACTAACAGACTGATGATTATTCTGCATGTGTAAAGACAAGTGCATGCAGTGGTTCTTTTTTGGCAGGGGCTTGGGTGAATCATTAGGGTGTGGGGTGGCTTGGGGAGTCTGAATGTTGCTTACCCATTTATAGCTCATTACAAAGGAACTAATAAGTATGGAGTACAGGGATTTAAACTCATGTAGCATAGGCATGTGTTTCTGGCAAGTTTGACAAAAAAGCTCTTACCCCTTGCACTAAATGTGCTGAAATGTCTTTGTAGGCCTGAAGGTGCACTTAACAACTGCCTGTTCTTACCAATAAATGTCTTTTTCTTTTTTACATTTTGTTTTCTACTGTATTTCTTTTGGTGAATGGCTCAAGCTCAAAATGATTGTTTACTCCTGTGGAAGAGGACTGGAAAAAATGGCCTGATGGCCAATTTATCATTTTCCTAAAGAAAAGGAAGATGTCTTAGTTCAATAGGGTGGTTTAGGGAGACCAGGCTGTGTCAGAGTTGTCTGAATTATCAGCTGTTCCTGAAATTATAATCATAAATCTATGGTGTGCCAGACAACCATAACTCAACTAAAAATGGTGGAGGGGAAGGATTTGGGGGGGAGTCATCTTCCTTATTAGAAGAACCAATGGAATTAAAAATGTTACCAAAAAAAAGAGAGAAAAAATGCTACCAGATTCCTCTGTCATGTAACTCAGCCTAAGTCAATGAATCTGATCTCTGCAGGGCTTGTCTGCACAGAGTGGTTAGCGGGCACTAGCTACTCCAGACTAACTCCCAGTTAAAACTGCAAGACTTTTCTCCACTGAGACAGTCAGAAAAGTTCATTCAGCTTAATTAAAGGTATGAGTTGACAGTGAATTAAAACTGTTTTAAACCCTATGTGATGCTTGTATTTAGAATTGAAGTTTTAATTTTTAATTAGGTTCATGAAGAGCACAAGTACCACACTGGGTCATGCCACAGGTCCCTCTAGCCCTGTAGCTTATCTCTCACCATGGCAAAGAGCAGATGCTGAGGAAGAGTTTTTATGCATGACCTGTCCAGACTGATCTGTCCCTTGCCCCTCTCTCCCTACAGCTTCCAGCATTTAGAAGCTAGTCCTAATCTGAAGGTTGAACCCTTTACAATAATGTTTAATATCTGCTCCTGGACTTATTCTGTATGAATTTGTCTAATCTTCTTTTGAACCTGGTGAAATGATCAGCCCCTACAATATCTTGTGGTAATGAGTTCTGCAAATTAATTATGTGCAGTATGAAAAAAATTCCTTTTGCTAATTTTAAACCTTCTTCCTAATAATTTCATTGTATGTCTCCTAGTTCAGTTTGGAACTGAAGCAAGCTAACTTGAATTTAGACCACTCCTATTCTGAATATGTGTGTCCATGGAGGGATTTAAAGTTGTTTGACTTATCTACTTTAAAAGTTAATTCCAATTAATTTTCTTTAGTGACTTCATATAGATAAGCCCCTTGCGTGCACAAAGTGCAAGGCGCCACTTATCCCACTTTAAAAGTGGAGCAAGCACTCAGCACAGGGAGTTAATGTGGAGTAATTCATGTGTTGTAAATTCACCCTAGAGCTTACTGTGCTGTATTGTAGACAAGCTCTTGCTGGTTCAACCCAGTTGCCTCTAGTGTAACTCCTTTGACTTTGTTGATTTACTTCTGATTTATACAGGCGTGATGAAAAAGTGAATCAACCCCCTGATTTTAGTGTCAGAGTTAGGGATGAATATGACCCAGGGTAATTAACTTCCAGTCACACATTCTTGTAAATATGCATGTCTTCAACTGTATTCTTATACACAAAGTTAAATGCATCTGTAAATATTTGAAGGTTAGAAGACTGTGCCCAACTCTACAGTACCAACTTAAGCAAAAGTCCTGTTGGCTGAAGTAGGAATTTTGCCCAAGGAGAGATTTCAAGAATCAGATCAGGATCTTCTTAGCAAATCAGTTATGTATAATTAATTAGGAATGGCATTGGATAAACAGATGAATGAACCAATGGCAAGTTTGTTCTCCTTGAGTTTTGGCTAGGGGACAGTTGTTTAATTAAACAAATGTACAAGAGTGTTTGCTTCTCTGATACAACTGGAACACAAGAGAAATATAAAGCATAACATGTTTTAAATGTAAGGCATTGAAGGCCAGTTTCACCATTTAATATCTCAGTCTTTGGGCAATGCAGAATATCTTTCATGCATATCTGTGCATTGTGTTATAATTGAAATAATCACATTTTGGGAAGGGGAAAAGGAAAAATAACATGGCTTAATAAAGCAGGCTGGAAAGTCTTATTCAGAAACATGCTTAATGTATTATCCTTCCTTTGACTTTAAATTGACTACTTCTATTTAGCAGGATGACATTCAGGGTTTATTTCATGCAGAAAGCAGAAAAGAGTTATATCACAGATTCTAGGTGCTTACTCAGGAAGGGCCTGAATTCATATTTTTTTCAATGCTTAATATTTCCATTGACTTTCATGGTAATTTTGGGTTAATAGGAAATACAGAATTTGTTCCAAATTGTGATTCACCATTTTTAGTCATGAGGTTAGGTAGAATTGGCAAGCCATCTTTAGCAATTGGGCAACATTATTATAAAGAATGGAAACTACAAAACAAACTTTTTTTTGGAATTGCCTAAAACAGGAATCTGCATTTCAAGTGTTTTGTCAGGTGAAGATGTTTTTTTTAAATTTAGGAATAGCAAATGTTGTTTTTCTGCATCCTAACTTAATCAGAAGTGTCAGTACTTATCACCATCATAAAACTTCAGGGTATTGTAACTTTTTCTTCCTTGTAGGTGAAGTATGCACAAAAAAGGCCAGCAGTTTGTATTATCAAGGCATACTATACCTTGATATTTTTTAAAGAAATAAAATGAAGCTGAGGTCTTAATTCAGAATTGTTTGAAAATATCCTATTTGTATCTGTGTAGCTCTGTTCATTTCAACTGTTCTCAGAGTCTAGTGAATATTATCCAAGGCTATAAAAAATACATCCCTTTCCCTTTATGTTCTCTCTGATAACTGAGTATGTGTTGCATTAAATTCCTTCAGGTGCATTAGTCGTTAATTACTGTTATTGTTTCAATGACATTTCTACAATGTAATTGGAATCAAATGTATATTTTACTTTTGTACAAAAGTAAAAATAATATTTTTATGACTTCAGCAAAAAACCCTTATATCTATAACTTCTTAAAATTATATATATATATATATATATATATATATCTTTTTTCTTTTCCATGACATGTAAACCACTTTTTCTTTTCATTGCATTGGTTTAAAAATGTGTAAATTACCGCTGTAGGTAGAACTGTATAAGGACTCTCTGACATACCTCTGATTTTAAAGATCATGTATTACCAATGTCAAATATAGAAACTGAATAGTGTTCATATAAAGTGCACCATCAGGGCAACAAGCCATTTAAGCTGAGATAGCTCTCTTTATTTCCACAGTTTACAAACTTCATACACTTTGAGTTAAGTATGTACCTCACTGTTACATTACTGCTCATTTTACTTTTGGTAACTAGCTAGTTTGATTTGTCAGTTTCAGCACATCTAATGTGATGAGTTTCTAACCTATTTAAAGTGCATAGTTTTCATCTATGCAATTTTTCTTGCTTCTGTCACTTGATCATCTGTTCATACTTGGCATCAATTAAAGAAAATTTTTAAGGATCTTACCCAGGAATATTTTGTCTGGTTATTTTCTGGAGTCCAGTTTCTCTGCTGTCCCCGCTAGACAGTTGTGTCTGAAGTGAATGGTTAGTTCATCCCTGCTTTGGTTGAATGTCATAATGAATAACAAACTGCAAGGTATTCCATGGGAAATGAGTTTCACTGTGACAGATGTTGCCATCAATGTTGTAAGCCTTTTGAATTTAGACTTAAACTTTAAAATATGATGAAGTTCAAAGGCTTGATTCATTAACTTTATTGACCTCAAAGGACTTTGCATCTCATCCCAAATGAGTAAAGCCAATATAATTATAGGACCATTGGCACTGAAGGTGGTAGGAATCTTACCACTGGCTTCAACGGAAGTAAAGACTGGGTTTACAGATTCTTGCATCTAAATAATCTCTGGTGACTTTGCTATATAAATGCTTACTTTAACAAAAAAAAAATAGTAGTGGTATAAATCATTATGGTCTTGATCTTGGGGAAATACAAGAGGCTTGAATTAATCATGATTTGTTTTCTTTGAATACCCCTTCTTAGGCAGATATTCCTGACATGCTGTGGCTCCTTCGAGTAGATGTGATGGAGTTCTGGGCATTTCATTTTGATAGGTCAGCCGTCTTAAAGGTTGCTTCATTGCTTCTTTGTGAACATGACATTTTATCCTCATTTTTATGCTATATGTAAATAAGGAAATGAGATCAGAGATGAAGTATCTGGCGTCTTTCTAATGCTAATGGTATTGTGTATGAGAAGTTAAAGACAGGCAGTATCAGTAGCCATGCTTATGGTTTGTGATAGTGGGCTACAGCAATGACTGGATACTATGTTTATATTTTATTGACCCTATACAGGAAACAGCATCAATGACCATGTATACTTTGAAACATGTTTTACTAGAGTATTAGTTTTACTAAAGTTTGTATAATAATATCTTTGGAGATATATAAACCTACCTGTATTGAATCTTGGGTGTGAACTGACAATGGTTTGTTTGGTTGAACTAGTGGTAAAAGCTTTCAGGTAATATTTTTGAATGGGCCTCTGAAAACCTTCAGTCACCAAACTCACATTGATTTTGGCCCTAACTCAGCAAGACGCTCAGCCTTGTGTCTGTCTTTAAGGACATGAGTAGCTCTATTGACTTATGTTGATTTCTGATCATCACATTTAAATCTTGCTTTTTTTTTTCAGCATAGTGTCAGTAAGCTCCTGCCTTTCCTCTTCATTCACACAACTAAAACTTTTGGTCGGACCTTCATCATCTTGTGTCTCAACCTTTTCTATTTTGGCCTTGAGAAATCCTATGGTGCCCTGCCAGAGGTAGTCAGAAAACAGTGGCAAAGAGCATTTTCCGAGATCCTGAGTCTTTTTTTTTTTCACACCTCCCGTTCCATCCCCACCCACATCCAAACTGTCAACTTGCTTTCCCTTTGATGGCCATTCTGGGCCTATCTCATCATATCTTTCATCCCTTATGGGGTACCTGGACATCAGCCCCTGCCTGCATTCTGCCAGGGATGTCAGGCTCTATTGCTTATGAAGTCTATGTTGCCGCTGGACTTTACTGTAATATAAATATCGTTATTTAATTACTCAGTATCTTGCTGAATTGGAGCCTTCAGTGGGTGTTTCCTACATGTAAGACTTTCTGTATCAATCCCTCAAAGTGGGTCTACTTTGCAAAGTGACTCTGTTAAAATGTTATAGTTTGGACTCTGTGTTTATCGTGTATTTGTTCCTCTGTGTTATATTTGCTCATTATACA